GCGCGTTCATAACGTCTTCAAAAATACGTCGCGCAGCGCGGGTTCGCTGAAAGGGATCCGGTGATCCGCGCGAAATCGGCTTGCCAAAGAAGCTGCCACCGTTGTCGAGACGTTCCATCGATCCGCCACCACCGACGTAGAACGCGCGAATGGATCTCGCGAACGTCGCAGCTCCTGTCAAAATACAAAATACGATTATGTCTCGCAGATTCCCATGCATAATTCAATTTTGAAATATGCCATTCGATCTTCATCCTTCTACATATTGTGGCTGCATGTCTTTATTTCGAACTGTGTATGCAAACTGTAAACAGTAATTAAATTCCTACAGATTAATTGATCTGCACGAAGTTTTTAAGAAACTCTCATTTATATTTTTCTATTTATAATATATTTAGTTGATCCTTTCTTAAAAATTTCACTTAAAAAATATCCTTTCGTTGCGTCTCGATCGTACGCGATAAAATGAAAACTAAATAATTTATATACGACAAAGCTTTAGAATTACCGAAACTAGCGCGTATGAGCATTAAACGTTCAAGTTACGTATGTCAATGCAGATGAAGAGATATCAGATAAGAAGATCCCGAAATGGCACCCTGCATAAATCACGCTGAGTGTTACTGAAGATTTTATTGTACATACACTCTTTTATCGCTCCTCTCATTATTTTATAACGACCTACTTGAGTTTGAAAACTACTTCCTTTTCTATCTATCGGTGGGGAAGCCAAGTACCCTTTTCAGTTCACTGTCCGCCGACATGTTTTCACTGTGGACAAAGATATTCGCGGCATATTTTCGCAATTCTCTCTGCTGGTTTACGATTTTACTCGGAGAAGTTCGCGTAAATGCGAAAGATAATTCGAAAGTGTCTATCTAATGGCTCGCTTATTTAACGTATCTGAATATATGTGAAAATCTTTGTGTTGCGAAACTTTGTTTAGCGTGTAATAAAGTTACTCTCGCCACCTTTCTGTTGAACATTTTATGTTAAACCCGTAATGTAGGGTTTAGAAAAGGGGTTTAAATTTCAAAACAGTTATATTAGTGAAGAAAAATCTTTTTGTCACAATATCAGTTTTTAATTCTACATATTGTGATGAGATTTTTACGTATTGAGATGATATTGATCAACAATGTCTGCTAAACAGGAATGTAAAAATTAATAAAAATCGCGAAAAGCTATATAGTGACTAGCATTTAGTTTAATTTCAATTTCATGTCATCAGTTTTGCGATATTATCACTAAATAACCAGACCGAGCTCCTGAGATGTTTTTTTTACTGTTATCACGTCACATTATAACCATGTGCTAGTTTGCAAGTTTTATAACTGTAAAATTGTGCTATTATGGCGGTGCACACATGCAGTATGATGAAAAATTGAAATTCTACGCGTTGAAACGTTAGGAGAATGGCCGTGTTATTTTAGTTGTTATTCAACTTGAGTTAATTTTCGCCACGTCGCAAACCTTCGCGCGCGTCGCATTCAATTTACATAGCAAACGTAACTCGTTCGTTAGGATTCCCGCTATGAAGCCGCTCGTTGCACTCGATAGTTATGCGATGCTCTTGCTTTGTGCGCCACGGGGCGCAATTAACCCTTTGTGCCTCGTGCATATTCGTATTATGTCAACTGCCTATAAAAAGCAAATTTAAAAGTCTTTGAAAGTCAATACAGCGATAGATAAGACAAGATTAATCCGAATGTATTAGAGCTAGCGAGCATATGAAAGTAACAATGCTAATAACTGTTCTATTACCATCGTTTTTAATCCTGAAGAAAATAAGAAATAATGTTACATTGCAGTCCTTTTCTGTCTAAATTTCAGAATCAATTTCTTTCAACTTGAGAACTGAACCAGCATTTATTTTTTTATGATATTATTTTCTGTTATATACCTCGATATAGCTGAGAACATAAATTAAAATTTCATGGAACTAATATTTTCTCGATACTCCAGATAGACTTTGACATTGGAACCCTTTTATTATTTGCTCTCTAGTATTCTTAAATTTGTGTTGAATATAGTAACTCTTTCAATAGTTTCATAAATTTTATATACTAATTGTAAGTTACAGTGAGAAATCTATCTCTGTGATCTATTATATTTCCTTCTTTTTCTTAAATGATAAACCTTGAACTAATTCATCTCGTAAATTTTGCAATTTTTTATTCGACACTGTCGTTCTACATGCCGACTTTGATCAATACGCAATGAAAGATAAATTGGTGACTAATTACATAACGACTCATTTCATAAAACGTTCCGGCTATCGTTAATTCATTCATTTCGGTTCTTTTTCTTGCCGAGCAGCTTTAATTGTTCGAATCGATTCCGACGGCGGCGAGCTGTGCGTCGCGCCGCAAATCGCAACTCCGCTCATCGGAATTGCAACGAGCCGTTTATTGCATCACTCCGTCGAAAACGTGGAAAATCACCGTAGAAAGGCGCGCTAAGATTATTAATAATAATTTAGTTAGGGAACGTAGCGGGGCACCAAGAGAGAGAACGGTCGGAAATTTACGCTGAGTATTTTGTACTGAAAATTGGTTATTCCTTACATATGAATTATTTAATAAATGTAAAGTTTTAATTTTGGAAATTCTTGCAACAATTATCTTAATTACGTGATAATTAATACTTTATTTAATGTATTCGCTGGAACGTAAAAGTCCCGTAATATTTCTTCTCGTATTTATTAATCTGGAGATATCTCGTATAATAGATCTAATCTTTGAAGAGCCAATTAGATTATTTCCCATCGATTAAAGCATTTAGGTAGATATGTGTGTTCTGAGTTTTGGTCGTGACACGGTTGCGACCGCAGTGCGGAGAGACGAAACGTTAATTGAGTCCAAAATCAATTAAACTCTAAATTGTAATCGGGAGTGTGAGGGAATAATTTACATAGAATTATGAGCTACCCCTTATTGATTTAGGTTTGAGCTCAACCATATTTAATACGTAATTAGTCGAGTCTTTATTAGGGAATATATTGAAATACATTACCCAATAAACTCTCTTGTTTTCCTTAAAATAAAGGTCGAATAAATAGCGCGCATAATGAGCTTTAAAATTGCACAATTTCTGAACTGAAATAAAATTATAAAGATACAAGAATTATAGTATAGGTATTTAGATGAGAAGGAGTGACACAGAAATACGTCATATTTATTTCTACTATTTCTACACGCGATTTGAGTTTCAATGCACGGATTCGTCTCTATTATGGAAATTACACCGCCGTGCAAATGACGTACCAAATGGCTTACGAAACGAGACAGTGTATTGAGTAGAGATCTAATTGCTACCGGTTGGTAATTAGGTATCGACAAACCGTTTGTAACATCAAACCGTTTCCATTGATCTCAGTCTTCTAATTAAAAGGTCCTAATTAGTAATTATATCTTCGCGTAGCTTATTAAATGAAATGTCTTTCGCGTTTCATCGTATTTAGTTGTAAATATGATTCCTGAATTCTCAACTTGACGAAAGCGTATTAGATTTAAAAAGAAAGAATTGAGCAGTCACATCCGAGACGTTAAATGAGCGACGAGAGCTCTAACAATAATCATTAACCGACTTGGTAACGGCAGCGACGATATATTTTCTCTGTCTTTCTCTCGAGGCAATAATTAACTAATTAATTCCAGTTTCAGCGTGTAGCTAGGAAATCTTTACAAATCACAGTACATTAATTCTCGGTAATGTTGTGGCCACACGATGCGAGTCTATTCAGGCGCATTTTAAGAGTCATTCGTGTAATTGCATTCAGTATGAAATAATTCTTTCTCGATAAAGATGCGTCGAAGCGTAAATAAATTTTCTGTCTGTCTGTTAATTAAAAAATACCTTTTTTCAAATTTATGCTTCGGAGATACAAGGAAGCAGCTTTATACATATATAATACATATTTCGGTAATACATGTTTATTTAACACTTAAACGGATTTTGAACACAATTTCAGTAATTATAAAAATATTGCTAATTAAACATTTAACTATTATTATATCGCGATGTTTTATTTTTCAAGCTTATTCATGAAATTAGCGTGCAACACGATCTTAATATACTGACAGTATTAATTTAAATTATAAATCGTAATTGTTGAACAATCTGATAATTACATTTGCGTTTCAACGGTAATCTGATATTAATAATTAAATAAAAATATTAATATATTTCAATTTTATTAGCACATTTCTATTTCGACTAATAAAATCGCAACAAAACATAATGCGCCTCGATCTCCATACGCACACGCTGTGATATTCATTTTTGTTATTCCACAATTTTTGTGTCGTCGACCTAACCCATAACCATAAACTCCATAAAGTTTCGATCGATCATTCTCGCGGCTCATAATTTACGTCACGTCAATAGTGCCGCAACGGTAACCATCGAAACAAATGGATGCAAATTAATACGGGAAGCGATAATGCGAGCGTGGCTTTCGCACGCTATTGTCGCTCTTCGCGCATATGCCGGGGCTGCGATAAGGACGCGTGATAATGCCAATAACATCCGTTAAGGAACAATGTTATCAACAGGAAACTATCTCGGCGAAGCGCATGCTCTTTGTGCAAAAATGGAATTACCCGTTGCAACCAAAGAAGCCCGAGGGAGAGAGGGCGTAGACTTGTTAGCCACTTCCAGCAGGCACGAGATTATTAGATTCGCGATGCTGCCTGCACAGATGCTGCAAAGTTACGGGCTCCCTTCGTATCCGCGACGAGAAACAGGGTCGCGCATCAAATGACGCGGGATATTAACCTTTATGCACGCGCGTATCTCGCACGGCATTTGATCAATTATCTTACAAATGAGTGTCGTAGTATCAAAAAAAATGACTTTGAAAAATATTACATCGTAAAATATTATATGTTTCATAATATTATTTAAGGTAATATTATTATACGTTGATTTATAAGTCGCAGCATTATAAAAATAAGTGTGCGTGCACGTATACACGCTTTTCAATAAATGATGCAACGATGCAAAGCGTAACACTCGGTCGCTGCGGATATTACTGCGGGTAGGAATCGCGATGAAAAATATATTTACGCTGCTTTCCTCTTCTCTTCTCTTCTATGCAGTCGATTATTTTTCAGATATATAAACAAGGGTGTATTCACAGATTTCTAGTTATTTGGTAACGTGATTGCAGATACCGCAAATAAGTTACGCCTCTACCAGCACAGAACTCTCGGACAAAAGCCGGTTCGAGTACTTTAGCAGGGTGGTGCCGCCGGATAATTTTCAGGCGCAGGCGATCGTTGAGGTGATCCATCTGCTTGGATGGAAGTACGTTTCCACGGTCGCTGTAGAAGGCGAGTACGGTGAGAAGGTGAGTGCTGAATGCAAGGGAGTCGATACATTACGTGCAAAATGGAAGAATGATCGTTGTGACGTTTACTTATCGTGTTTACGCACGTTGTCCATCTCAAAAATGTGTATCCCGTGATAACAGTAGAATGGTATTTTTGTTTTACGTTGTTGCACTTCGCAAGAATATTTAGCGGGAAAAGAATATATATTGATTATGTATAGAAATAATAACCAGTAAATCTTTATATATTTTATGTAAAAGATTATAATTAAGGATTACTAAAATTCGAGATTTCTTATTACGATGTCAGTTTTCACTAAACAAAGTGATCATATAACCACTGTAATCACGAGGTGTATATTTATTTAAATCATTGTAGGCACAAATGATAAAAAATTTACGAATACCAAAAGTTTGCAATTATGTCGACAATTCATAGGTAAAAATGAGATATCCGTGTAATTTGTAATTATTGCAATTCCATTTTTACCGTTAACTACAGGTGAACCATTTTAAGTACAGTTAAACCGTTTTTAAACATACGTAAAAGTCTGTCTGCGGTTATATAATAAATAGATAAAAATGAAATATTTACTTAACCGTAAAACATGCTGCAACATTTAATTGCACCCTTTCGTAAGATTCCAACGTAGCATTAATGCTGCGTTAAATAATAATTATTGTAACAATGGTAATTATGATATGAGATCGTTATGTGCGACCGCGTTAACAAGCGAAGATGAAACTAATTGCGCAATCAAGCAAGAAAACTTGATGTTAAAGCGCCATCCGCTGCTTAAATTAGGTGATTAACATGCGGTGGGGATACCGCGCGAAGAGATTACCAGAGTAATCTAATCTTACAAAAATTCCAGAAAGCAGAACTTTTTGGTTGCCTAAGTGCTTCTTGAATTTGTCGTTTCCTATTTGCAAACTTTATGGAAGAAATCAGCTGGAATCTACGGGATCTTGGCTAGGAAGATAAAGGATAAAATATTACTACGACAGTCTTATTTTACTATCTTTCCATACATAAATTGATGCTTAGCGATAATCTCATAAAAAAGGCGTGTTAAATCGATACTCGAAAGTCTCGAAGTAAGTTGCCTCTTTTCCGCGATGCTGATTGACTGTCTCGCTTGTCACCGTCAGTGACAAGACGATTAAATTTTGACAGCTGTTAAAGAGGCTGCGTATAAAATAAGTTGTTCTTAAGAAAACTTTTCACGCGCGCGAAGCGCGTGCTCACGTTGTCGTCGTGAATAAAAATCTGCAATTAAGTAACATACGTTTGTGTCACATCAACTAAATTGATGCAACATCTCTGAGTAATTAGAATTTAAGAAGCGATTTTTGTTTCATAACTTTCTCAAAATTTTCTCGGTCGAACAGAGTCAATCGTTTCCGCAATACTAATTATCCACAGAACGATATGCAAAATGTTCCTATAGTAAGAATCGCTGAACACAGTAATTTGAGAGAAAGAGAGAGAGAGAGA